CCGGGGGCCTAAGGATGTTCATAGGACTTTTTTTTTGTAAGGTGAGATCTAATTTATTTGTTATGTGTTTTACTTTTGACTGGACTCAAACTTGGAAGTAGAAGCTCTCAGAGAGGACAACCTGCGTCTCTTGGCAATCTGTTTCCAGTGTTTTTCTTTGGCTGAGATATCACACTTGCATAAACTTTTATGGGGGCTTTTTCTCTTCATATGGAGAAACAATTGTTAAAAGATGGCAGTAGGGGCTGAATTTTTTTGAACTCGGGGACTACAGGAGGAGAGACATCCATTTTTCAAGCAATTTAGAAAGCAAGTACAATAATGGCCTTACCTCTGCTCACAGCTCACTTATTTCATTCTTAGTTTCCTTTTGTTCTACATCCTCCAAATCCTCAAATTCTGAGGAGATGGCTTGCAATGCCATAAATGTCCTTTTAGGATCTGGTTTGTCAGACTCATCCCCACCGTAGCGCATTGAGAAATTTAAAGATCCGACCCTTTCAGTATGCTGGGGCTACACCTTCATGTAGGAAGTCCTGGGGGTGTGCGTGCAACTTTATCATAATTATGCACCACAGAGGCCCCCTGTCCAATTTTTGTCCTTTTTTCTATTCTAGCATCCGCATTTGAGAGTGAGGGAGTCAGAAGTCTTAAAAAGGTCTTGTGCAGATTCATATTTGTGCAGAAGTTGCTCTTGAGGTTTAGCGATATCAGCATCTGAAACTGACCTTTGCAAACATTTCTTGAACTCTTCTGAGTCTGAATGCAGTGGTTCCAAAGCTAAGGAAATTAATCTACGAAGAGACCAAATGTGAAGAGGAATTGGTTCCCATTTTGAGGAGCATGATGCATTGTTCTCATAACTTGTTTTTAAACTTTTACGTTTAAAGCAGCCTTTCCCTTAGGTTTCAACCAATAATAATGCCTTTTAATAAGTGAAAATAGTTTCTTGAAACTCTAGTTTCACTTTTACATCTGCTCCTTTGAGTAACATCCAAGTAAACATTTTCTACTGAAGCCGAGTTTCCCATTACTCTGGGCTTTTCCCAGTGGTCTCACCTACTCTGGGCATACTTTTCCCATGCGTTCAAGCCTCTCTTAAGTCACCCTTGGTCATCTTCTGTGTCCCAGGTTGGATGCCACGAAAGAAACCACTAGAAGGACCCTGATGAATATATGTTCAGGGATCTCACTGAGATTAGTCTCTAAGTGAGCCCAGAGCCACCAAAACATCTACATTTATGGAGGGCTAAAGGCACGCAAAGGAATGTGCACGACTACTTTGGTGTCAACAAACTGCTATCCATATTGCCTTCCAGCATTCACCAACTATAGTTTACATTCCACTGGTTGGTAACTTCCCAGGAACAAAGATCAGACAGGGCGCTGCTTCCACAAATCTGCTACTTGCCTCTGTCATGTTTCCTAGCTCTTCTCCTTGCTCTCTCTTCATTGTCTAGTCCTCAAGTTCTTGCTTTCCTTTTAATTGTGTTATATGTAAAGATGGGTAAGGCAATGATCCTGCGGATCTTCAGAAGATTTTCAAATCTAGCAGTTAATTGGAAGGATTCTCACCCTGACTAAATATATATACCGACACCTGTGATCTAAACAACTGCACTGAAGATGGCAATTTGTAATAGGTTCATGCTTGGAGTGCCTGTCATTCTGGTCTTCTGAATACATGCTGCTTGTCATGACATGCCAGATGCTGCCGTGCTGTCTCTTGGGTCGATGATTGTTTAAAAAGGAAGGGGGGGGTGAATGAAGGCAGGAGACAGGAAAAGGAGTGTTGTAGAACTGTCCTGCTACAGTGCTATATATGGTTAGATTTCTGTATAAACATAATTCTTTATTCCTATTTTTTAAATATATTTTAATTAAAAAATTTTTTTGGTCATATTCTGTAGGGACTTAAAGTTGAACATATCAATACTTTATGAAAAACACCTGTTCCATGTTATGCCTAAGATGTTTGATATTCAGACAGATAGTGAGGTTAAGCTCAACAGCCTAGGTTATATGATAATAACAATAAGCTTCTCTTCTGGAGGGTTAACAACCTAAGTTTGCAGACCAAAAATTGGGAAAAAGGAGGGCCGCAGGGAAAGCCAACATTTTGGCCCTAGTCTTCCAAGGTTAGTTAGGACTCAGAGAACTTGTACTGTAATGTTATGTAACTCAGTAATGTCCCAGATTTTCTGATCAAGATTATGGGGCCAAAGAGGAAAGTGATCGATGATATAGAGTGTGCCTAAGGAGAGTCACATGGAGAGAAAACATTCTCTCAGGCTTTCACAGAGAGCGAATTGGCCAAGCAATGGCCGTGACTCACCCACATGGCTGACACTGACAAAGGATCTACAATCTGAGGTATAGTGTCTCAGAATAAATCCTGAGGGGATTTGACTGACCTTATCAGATCCAAAAGCTACAATTCTTCTTCTTCTTTTTTTTTTTTTTTGTAACAATTCTTGTTACATAGGTCTTGCTTTATTTTGGTTTTAACCGTCCAGCAGAAAAGTATAAAAATGAAGTACCAGAAATAAAGCCATGTTGTTATGTTGAGCTGTAGGGGACTCAAGTCAACAACTTCTGACATTGACAGTCAAGTGGAAGACCCAATACTATTATGGACTACTGGACTATTTTGGAATATTTTGCTGAGTTCACACACCTATAATATTTAAGTGATGGAACTAAACAAAGAAGGGGATATAGATGAATGACCATTTTGTATCTGTGTATTCAAAATGGTTAGGGTAGATATATAGCTACATTCTCTTAATTCAAGGAATAGAGGCATTTATTATAATAGTGTTTGTAAATAAGATATCATGTCTGTATCTTATATAACAACCACTAGGAAGGCTGTATGCAATGTGTTAATTATTAGAACTGTCCTACCAATTCGATTTAAAACTGTCTCATTGCTATTTATTTCTCAATAAAATTATGGAAAAAAATTAAATTAAATTAAATTAAAAAAAAAAGAAAAAAAGAAATCTGCTCCTACCTTGTCTCCAGCTTGCGGGGCTTGTAAGGAGCCAGTTTCTATAGGTTCTGTTCTTCGTTCCTTGCTCACTTGGTATAGTAAACTTCTGACTCATATCACTACTTTAGGCTTTCCCTTTTTGTGTGTGTGTGAGAAGCATGACATTACATTTATGTAAATGTTTTTGTACATAAATGTTGAGCCTTTGCAGATGTGTCAACAAGGCAAATTACTAGTGATAAAATTATTGGGTAGAAACTTAAAATTTTGACAGATTTTGTCAAATTTCCCTTCAGGAATATTGTAATATGTTTTTGTCCCTGTCAGATAGGTGAAATTAGCTTCATATTAGTTTGACTGATTTTTTTTTTTTTTGGCGGAACCGGGGATTGAACTCAGTCCCTTGAGCTTGCCAGGGAAGCGCTTATTCTACTGAGCCATCTCCCCGGTCCCCAGAAGCTTAACTTTGAATTGAGAGTATCCTTTTATGAGGATTTTTTGTGTGTGTGTCTGTGAATGATTATCCTTTATGGTATATGTGAACTTTTTTTTTTTTTTTTTTAAAGCTCCTGTCCAAGAGAGGGACAGGAGGGGGGCCCAAGCGGGTAGTTCCCTGGGAAGCTGTCTCTTCCAGGGACTTTTAAAATTTATTTGTTTATTTGTGTGTGTGGGGGGGGCAGCTCAGCCCACCAGGGGGTGAAGCTGGCTGGCATGTGGTGCTGGGGGATTGAACCGCGGTCCCTGTACTTTGCTTAGCTTAGCTTGTTCTAGGTAGGTGCTTTAGACCACTGAGCCATCTCACCAGCCCCATGTGAACTTTTTAAGAGGAGGAAATATGCTCATTGTTGTCATTTTTTTGTCCCCTGCTATGTCATTAGTCATTCTTTTTCTCCTGTCCACCAATATTTTAATGAAATTAGATTTTTCAAGCTTTTTCTTTTGTTTTTTGGTTCAGGGTATCAATCTATAATTCAAGCTGGACTTGCATTCACTTTGTAGCTCAGACTGGCTTTGAACTCACTGCAGTCCTGCCTCAGCCTCCCAATTGCCAGGCATATGCCACCATGCCTGGCTTCTTGACTGCTGCTTTTTAAACGTGACTGCCCAGCTTGCTGACACCTGTGTAGGGTGGTTGACTGCACCAGGTCAGCCTGGTTAGACAAGCAGAGAACAAAGCATGAGCCAGCTGAACACCAGCTCCTGCATGTGTCCTCATCAGAGCTAAACCTTAGTGTCCCAGTGACATAGGGGAAAGAAACTCCCAACCCGAAAGACATCTGGGATGAGTTTATAGTCTCAAAAACCGAAGAATGAATTTTAGGAACAATGGAGGTTAAGAGCAGAATATATTTATTGAGGGGAAGTAAACTTCTGCCCAAGAGAAGGGGACCAAGTGGGTTGCCAAGGAACCTGCCCTTTTTAGGGATTTTTATAGAGCAAAACCACCAGGTGAGGTGAGTCCAAGGTGGGAAAGATGGGCACTCACAAGGTAGGCATGTGGTGGGACAAAACTATGGTCAACCATTAAGATTGGGAAACAAGTCATGTTGCAAGTAGGCAGGAATACAGAGCAGAGGCTTTTCCTGTTGGAGTTTGGGTTAGTGTCTCTCCCTGGCTTTTTCAAGGAGAAGGATTGATACTATGCTATGTGGGTACATTTGTTTAATCCTTTGGAGGTTTGACCCACAGTGGAGGTGCCTGTCTCCCATAGTTGCAAGGTGTCTGGTCTTCCATACTGGCTCCGTCCTGCCCAGCCATCCCTGTCTGACTGCCTGTATTATTTCTGTCTTTTCAGTTGCTGCAACACCAGGACTGCTGCCTGTCTGGTAGACCTGGCAAGGTGGGTGATGAGGCTGAAACCTAGACTAGGATTAGGGTAACTAATAAGGTCCATTGGCTTTGGGCTATTCTTTTGTTTACACTGAAGAGGACAAAGGTGAGACGAACCAGATGAACCCTTCTCTTCCTGGCTGTAATTTGAACCTACTTGTTTCTTGTCCTGTAGGTAAACAGATGGCGTTCATCAAGAGTGGATGGTTGCTGCGACAGAGTGAGTATGGGCACCTGGGTCTGCATTTAGGGTGGCTTGGGGGAACATCTTTAGTTCTTTTTGCTGAAACAGATCAAAAACAAATCATAGAATGTTACTGTGTTGCTGCCTTAAATTTCCTTTTGGGAAGTTTTAGAACTGTTAATTATCTTTCTGCACACAAGGAACCCCTTGGTTGCTGAGTTTATGGGTACCAGGAAACAGTGGCAGTCCTTTTCACTGTGTCTTTCTCATTAGCATATTTTATGATTGACTTGAGGTTCCAGGGTCTTGCCAAACACCTAGTACTATTGTATTGGCCTCGAGGGACAGTTTTCTTTGGCTTGGCATATGTCTGATCTGAGGACTGAGCAGTGACTCAGCTGAAATACTGGAGCCTTTTCTAATTATATGGAGGAAGACCTGACCTGTGGATATGAATTCATCAAAAGCCAAACTTTTTTTCTCCAGAAGTGAATCTAGGGAAGAGATTTAATTGTTTACTTGGGGGATTGAGATCTGCTTTCCTAGATTTGTCTTCATGGGCCAATTTTTGATACACTGTACTCACTGTTCTTATCTCTGCGGATGCCACTTCAAGTGGGCGTAGTCTTATGAGTTAAGGAAAGAACAGAGAGATCATTCTGCTGCTCTAGAAAGAGCAGAGTTAAGGAGAAAGGCGCTAGTATATTGATTCTAGCACAAAAAGTTGAAGCACGCATTGTATAATACGAGACATGAATTGCATTCGAAAGACACATTCACAACTTAAAATTGAGGCTAGTGATGAAGAGTTAACTACATGCCTTAAAACAGTGATTGGTTAACAGGTATGGTGGTACACATTTGTAATCCCAGGGGTGTGAGGCAGGAGGGTCACCATAAGTTTGAGGCAGCCTGGGTTACCTAGTGAGTTCAAGCCCAGCCTGAATTACACAGCAAGACTTTGTTTCCAAAAACAAACCAAAACAACCCAGAACCTCTTTTTTTTTTAATTTGTGTGTGTGTATGTGTGTGTGTGGCCAGCTCAGCCCACCAGGGGGCGGGGCTGGCTGGCATGTGGTGCTGGGGGATTGAACCATGGTCCCTGTGTTTTGCTAAGCTTGTTCTAAGTAGGTGCTTTGGACCACTGAGCCATCTTACCAGCCCCTATTTTATTTTATTTTGAGACAGGGTCTTTCTATGTAGCCCAGGCTGAGCTAAACTCATAGCAGTCCTCATGCCTCAGCCTCCTGAGTGCTGGGATTATAGGCATGCTCCACCACGCTCTACCTGCTTGGGTTTTGAGGCCCTTAGCTCCCCATAGTCAATATCCTCCCCTTACTGAGAACTGGAGGAGGTGTTTTTTGCTGTTCTTTGGATTGCCTCTGCCTCTCTCCTTAGGTTCCACTATAACCTTGTATGAAGGCAAGCCTGCCTTCTTGGACCACAATGTAGTGTAAATTGTCCATAGATGTAGTTATAACCTGAATTTTTCTGTTTCTTGGTGGCCTAAGAAGATTTCACACAGCCACTTTGAATAGTGAGAGACCACACTGAAGCAGAGTTTTAGTTTACAGAAAGTAGTTTATTGCAGAATAGGAAAGAGTACCCCTAAGAGAAGGCCAGATTGCTTGCAAGCATGTGAATGGATCCTGCTGCTTCTCTTTCCACTAATTCACCCTGCTTTCTGCCAATAGAGTGTCCCCACTGGTCTTGCGTAGGTATGAATGAAGAGAGAAAGTCTCCTCGGTTCTTCTTAATTTTCCTACCTTTTGGGTACCTCAGGGAGGACTTTTTTGTTTTTGTTGTTGTTTTATGGTACTCAGGACCTTGCACTTGCCAGAGAGGCAGTTAAGCCACTAACCTTTGCAGGGTGAAAACACTGTTCCCCTAACTCAGCTCCCCAGGACCATTTCCCCCACCACTCATCACCATTTGCCTACACTGCCAAGAAATAGAAGCTCCTGAGTCTTCAGACTATGACAGTGAAATTCGCTAGCTACTTCTGCCGGAGAGAGGCAGGGCAGGGCAGACTCTGAAGTCTGTTGTGGTGCATTGTTCAGGGCTCCTTGGAAGTATTCTTTTGCTGGCTCCAGCTGGGAACCTTTAGTTTTCAAGGTCATCTCCAGGTTTACAGTTACATGATGGGAGGACACAGAGCCTGCAAAGAAGTTGAGGGAACAAAAAAGAGAAAAGTTGAAACAAAAATTGACCTAAGAGTAGCAGTAGCCAGGAGGACGGGGAAGGCCATATCCCCTTGATGTGGTCCACAGATTTTGTAGCAGCTGGGAAAGGCCCCTAAGTCAGGTACCTTGGTTAAGTATGTTGTGGGTCCTTTTTCTGTCTGACCGATTTTATTAATCCAGGAGCAATGAGAATGATTAGCTATTACACAGATGCCCTTGTCCAGCCAGATTAGAACTAACCTGGCCTGATGGCAGAGGCCAGAGTAGATAATCTAGAGAAGCAGTTGAGTTCTTCAAGTTTGCCCATTTATTTGGCCATATTACCCAGAGTGGACACACTGGTCATGATGGCAGCATTGTAAATTGTTCCCCTTCGCAGGGCAAGCACTAAGACTATCATGCTTGCCATCCCTAGACCTTTTACTCTCTTTGGATGGCCACTTTCTTTTTCAATGACAATGTGATTCTTTTTTTTTTTTTTATTTATTT